CGAAATTAGCAAAGAAGTCAACCAAAATCTTGATTATGGAGAAGCACTCTAGAGAGCAATGGATTTAGGATAAGTAGAAGTAACAAAAAAATAAATATACACCACAAATTTAGCCAGCATAAGAAGAATGATATAAGGTGAAATAAGGTGCATTGTGTTGCCTAAATGCAGTCAATTCAAATAGATGAAGCTGTAAGACAATTAGAAAAGGATGACTGGAATGGAGAAGTGCTACAACAATGTTATGTGATAAGAGTTTACCTGCCAAAGTAAAAGGTAAGTTCTACAAAACGTCATAAGACCTGCAGTGTTATATGGAAGTGAATGTTTGGTCTCCAAGTCACAACGTGCCCACATATTGAGTACCCTTGTTATTTGTACATTAGGTCTTCGTCCTGGGTATGTACACTTACATTAGGTCCTCGTCCTTGGTACACTTGCATTACATCTGGTGTTTGATAAGAGTCTTTTCAGTTCAGGTATGTATATTATGTTTATATGTAGCGATGACTAGTTGGATAAGGCCTAATTTGTGCTAAAAGACGAATTATTGAGTACAGAATGAAACAAGCCAAATAGAAATGGTTATTGAGGATTCATAAAACTAACCCCAACTAGTTTGGGACTGAGGCACTAGTAGTTGTTGTGGTACAATTGCTTTCCTTACTCTAGCCTTTCGCAGGTCAGTCAGTACATAACAGGAGGTCTTGAAAGAGCCCGAGATGGTCTTACTGTAGCTGCTGCCTTAAGGGAAAAGCACTTGCTGGGAACTAGTGTTAGCCGAAGAGTTGCTGCAGCAGCTGCTTCTGCCGTAATTATTCTGTCTTTTTTTGTGATCTAAAGTTTGTACTTTGTATAACATCTAAATGGTAGAGAATGACCAGCTGGCTTATGATATGTTTGGTGGTATGTAGGCAGAAAATGCAGCTGCTGCTGGCGAAAGCAGTTTCAGATCTTTCATGCTCTCTGTGCAACGTTGTGGAAGCAGTGTGGCTATTTTGCAGCAGGTGGGTTGGTTTGAACTGTAATTAGATTATTTTTTATGCTTCTTGAAACACTCAATTGCAACTAAAGTCTTGCTTTTCTTCAGTATTTTGTGAACTCCTTATCGCGGCTTTTGCTTCCTGTGGATGGTGCTCATGCTGCTTCCAGTGAAGAAATGGCAACAGCTATGTCTCGTGCAGAGAATGTTGCCTGTAAGGGGCTTCAACAGTGCATTGAAACTGTCATGGCTGAGGTTTGTGCTTCATAATATATGCTTTGGTGTATAGGCTTGATATGTGCTATATGTGGACACCTTATCCTCCCTAGGCAAAACATCCTATTGATCACTTTTACCAACTATTTTAAATTTTCCTGTTCTTGTGTATGTGCTCTCAAACCAGCATTTTGTTTGACACCGTGTTTCCCCTTCTTTGACTGTTATCAGGTGGAAAGGCTACTGTCAACCGAGCAAAAAGCAACAGATTATCGATCACCTGATGATGGCATTATCCCCGACCATAGGCCAACAAGTGCTTGTGCATGGTGAATCTTTATATATATTAGTTACAAGATGCATATATGTTAATCTGGGGTCTTTTATATTGCTCCCATTCAGAAGCAGAAAAATATCATATTCTTGACACAAAAAATACAAACTTTCAGTTGACCTTATCTCTGAAATTGATGTCCGTTTCTATCTATATTTACTTTCCTCATTTATCCTGTGCTGATAATATCTCGATTGACCAGTGTTGTTGCATATCTTTCTCGTGTTCTTGAGTCGGCATTCACTGGATTGGAAGGGCTCAACAAACAAGCGTTCCTGACTGAATTGGTATGTTAATGTTCTTCTTGCTGCTAATGCTCTTATTCTTTGTCCAACCCCTTGATGTTGGAACTATTCTCATAATTATCTGTCAAGTCTAACTTTCTTCTTGAAATTGCCCGGTCCAATGTTGTTTCTAGACGTATGACAATTGATCCTTGCCCCAATCAGCTATTTTTGTAGTTTCAAGGAATTCTGTTTTTGGAAATTGTTCAGTAGCTTTTTTGAATTGGCATAATCTACTTTAATGACATTAAACATGCCCTAGCGTGTAAGTTGTAACTCTCAGACTCACCAATTGTTTGAATTGATCTTGCTAAGGGTGCCTCCATACATTTGTTATATGAATGCTGGGATGAAACTAAAATTTTGGCTCTCGCATCCATTTAGTGCTATGCTTTTCTGTTGTATCTGACAGTTCACCAATGTTCGAATTATCTACAACTGTTTTTTGATTCCGTATTTAGTATTCTTTGAATCAGAATTTCTAGTATTGACACTGCGTTTTTCTATGTTTAAAATCTTTTATAGGGGAATCGCTTGCACAAAGCGTTGCTTAACCATTGGCAAAAGCTCACTTTCAATCCTAGGTAATTCCTTTCTCTTATGAAAATATTTCATAGTTATTATTGTTATTATTATTATTATGAAAATATTTCATAGTTATTATCTAGTATTGACACTGCGTTTTTCTATGTTTAAAATCTTTTATAGGGGAATCGCTTGCACAAAGCGTTGCTTAACCATTGGCAAAAGCTCACTTTCAATCCTAGGTAATTCCTTTCTCTTATGAAAATATTTCATAGTTATTATTGTTATTATTATTATTATGAAAATATTTCATAGTTATTATCTAGTATTGACACTGCGTTTTTCTATGTTTAAAATCTTTTATAGGGGAATCGCTTGCACAAAGCGTTGCTTAACCATTGGCAAAAGCTCACTTTCAATCCTAGGTAATTCCTTTCTCTTATGAAAATATTTCATAGTTATTATTGTTATTATTATTATTATGAAAATATTTCATAGTTATTATCTAGTATTGACACTGCGTTTTTCTATGTTTAAAATCTTTTATAGGGGAATCGCTTGCACAAAGCGTTGCTTAACCATTGGCAAAAGCTCACTTTCAATCCTAGGTAATTCCTTTCTCTTATGAAAATATTTCATAGTTATTATTGTTATTATTATTATTATGAAAATATTTCATAGTTAAATCTTCTTTGGGAGCCAAATAAAAGGTTAACCATGATATAATTAGGCAATGTAATGTAATCAGGCACAGATCTTTATGCAAGAGAAAGATCCCACTAAAGACAATATATGTTGGAATTGTGGTGATTCAAGACTGATCCCCAGAAATTGTGATAAAAATGTAGAAGAATAGAGAAAAAGAAAAAAGAAGTCCAACAAAAAATCAAAAAATTTTAAAATGCTAGTTTAGCTAATGAGAAGGGTGATGTTGATGTTCTTTTTGTGCCAATTCATAGCACAGATCAAATTATGATTTGCATTTGCTCAAAGTTGCTTCATCTATTTATTATGTTACTGTTAATTGACATAATTTCTCTCTGACTTGTGCAGTGGAGGGTTGCGTTTGAAGCGCGATATAACAGAATATGGCGAGTTTGTTCGTAGTTTCAATGCCCCCCAGATTGATGAGAAATTTGAACAGCTCGGAATGTAAGTTGCAAGTGTACTGAAAATTGTAGGCCTTATACAAAATATATTCTCCCCTAATGATTCCTGTCTTTTGCTTCAGCATCGCAAATGTGTTTATTGTTGCTCCTGAAAGTCTTGGCCCGCTGTTTGAGGGAACTCCAAGCATTAAGAAAGATGCTCAAAGGTAACTAAGATGTTGACATATTCTTGTACACTGTGTGCACAAATCTACATTGTGCTTCCTGCAGATCTCTCACATGATTACTTCTATGACATATGTTCTTTGTCACCCGCAAGGGGTGGCTGAGTGGGTTGTGTGAGTGGTTTCCCACATGGAAGACCTGGAATCGATTCCCCTCACCAGAAGCCTCCTCAGTCAGAGCTCGTCGCACCGGGCTTGCCTAGTGCGGTTTAAATCTCCTGTGTGGTTTGCGAGCTGTTGCATAGTGAGCATGTTACCCGGTGCGCACCCGAAAGATAGTGGCTGCGGGTTTCCCCGTGGAGTTTTCCAAAAAAGGAAAAAATTATGTTCTTTGTCATGTTATGCATGTGTTTAAGTGAAATGTCCACCACAGTTTTTAATAACCAAAAATCTGTTTTATGATTAGTAGACACCAAAAAGGTTGAATGACTTGTATTCCGTATATGGTTGTGAGAAGGGACAGTTTTTTGAGTTCTTTTTTACTTTGTTTTTCAACCTAGGATAACATTTCTTGTGTCTGCAAACTCAGGTTTATTCAACTTCGCGACGATTACAAGAGTGCAAAACTTGCGTCAAGGCTCAGCTCCTTGTGGAATTAGCTTAGTTTGGATCAGAAATTACACTCTGAAAGAAGTTAAGAAATAATATACTGCTGATAGCATAGAATATAGATAGAGTTGACGTTTATATGGCAAGGCTCGTCCATCTCAAACTGGAACTTTTTATTCCTGAGCTGGAAGATTTGGGGAAGCTTTTGCTAATTTAGAGGTAGTTCATCTTAGTTCTAAGTTATATGAACCTCTTTCCTGGATTACTTTTTGTTGTTTAAGTTTTTGAAACCTGCAAAAGTTTCTGATGTGCTATACTGTTAATAATTGACGAGAAAGATATATCGGGTAGACTTAATACTGTAAATTAGGAATTCATACTTAAATATTTTTTATGGAAATATCAAAGATGTAAAGGGTTGGAAATGTCCAACTCTCATGTAAGATTTGAGGAGGTAACGTTGCATATCTGATTCCTTCATATATTCATTTTTTTGGATTCTAATATACAAGATAAATTGTACAATCTTTTTGTTTGTTTTCTTAAACCACAATAGTCAAAATAGAGAAATGCCTATTTTCTTGCAAATACTAAATGATTTTAATTTTTCTAAGAAGATATCGAGTTAAGAAGAAACTAATGTATGCAGAGTATACCAAACATAGAGCGCATAAAATAAAGTGGCATCAGATATATAACTAATAAATCTCGTAAAATGATGCGGCTGCTGATATGCTAGCTTATTTTGGGAAGTGATTATTTTAAAAACTCATCCAAGGCGTATTTACGGAAGTAGCAGGGAACTTGACCGTACTTTCGAAAAAAAACAGTTTGTGTTTGACTAAACAATTTGAAAAACGCTTTTGAAAAATAATTTGTGTTTGGCCAAACTTTTCAAAAAATGTCTTTTAAGTGTGAAATTACGAATAAAGACATGACGAGATTTGCTTAATAGTTAATGTTATATAATTAGATAAATAATCACAAATATCTATTATTAAAGGTAATAATTAGTTTTTTATTTGGTTTATGTAAAGTATAAAAATAAAATTGAAAAGTACTTTATCCTTTCAAGATAATTTCAATATATCAAAAAATCATTCAATAAATATGAAAGTTCATCTCAAAAGTCATTATATATTATTTAATAGTTTGTTATTTTGGTATATATAGTATTTTGCTAAGGGTATTTTTGGTAGAAAGAAAAGTTAAAACTGCTTTTGCTTCTAGAGAGAAACTATTTTTTTCTGATTCTAGCCAAAAAACACTCCCCTCCCCCAAATAAAGCTTGGCCAAACACCTTAAATTGATAAAAAAGCACTTTTTTAAATTAAAAAAAAATTACTTTTGGCTTGAGGAGAAACTTAGTGAAACATGCTATTAGATACTTACAGGTAATAACTTTATCGATAGTGAGAATTTTGTAGTCAATAAATTTGCCTTCAGGGGCGTATGAAGTGTATTGCTGACAGGTTGAATTGAACCAATAACTTTTGACCCAAATAGTAGATATGAAGTCATAATTTTAAAAATATAATGAGTTCAATATTTAAAATCTTAAAAGATGATCTCATTGAGATTAAATTTTGGATCCGCCTCTGATTACCTTAGTAACCTTCACCACATCAATTCAAGCAATGCCAGTCCAAAGACTAAATCTCTTACCTTTCTAACACATCAATAATTGCATTGCTCTTCTGCCGTCGCCAATATAACATTATTGCTAACCGCTTTAAATTGGAGCCTAATGTGTCAAGAATGATATACTTCATTGAAACATCTATCTATGCAGGGACCTAGAAAGTAATGTTGCATCTCTTATTGATGAGGGATTGTATTTATTTATTACCTCTAGGAATTTAAACTCAATTATTAAACTTTTAAAAAATATGTCTCAACCTGAATCAGAAAAGACGTGTCTTTTAATATTCTTTACAAACTACAAACGTTTCAAACCCAAAATCTTCATGCCTTATATTTATCTTCTCCACATCAATCGGAATCTATCCCATTGATTGCGCAACATCAGTATCAGTATGAAATAAAATATTACGTACTTTTCATTCTCGGCGAATGGTTTGAATAAATCGAAGAAATTGGCGAGTAAGAGCAAAAAATAGGTAATTTAATCAAATTTTTATGTCGGTTATTCTCTGCTCTGGCTAACAATTCGTTTCCCTTCAATATGAAAAGTTTTTTTCTTTCAAAATTCGTATAAATATACGTTACTCTATAAGTATTATATAGAGATCAATATCTGAATTGGTTCAATTTAAAACGCCGAGTTCTATGTCTTCTGATGACCGTGCAACGAATCCTTACGTTGATTTTACTGCTTTGGCCAAGAATTCATCTTCTTTCAACACATATTTTAATTTCTTTCTTTATTTGCAAAAATATATCGGATATTAGACATTGTATTTTTGAATCGGTTTAATGTTTATTTGTTTTAGTAAAAAATAATTGGAATTGATCTTTCTGTGGAACAATTGTTTGGAACTGGAGCGTTTGGATTTTGGAGCAACCTCATCAGCATCAGTACTTGCAACTTCTTTTGGAAATTCAATGTCTTTTGGCGGTAAAAACTTGAATATAACTAGATGATTTTTTAGTTTCTTAGTGATTTGGAATCAGTATTTTTATGCTTTGTATTGGCAATGTTAGATTTCATGAGTCATGTTGAAGACTCAATTAAGAAACTCAAAAGTTATTTCTACTATCTTGAGCTAGTTTTTCCGTGAATTTTGATAATATATATAGCCAAAAAAATTCTTCTCCGGTCGACTTATATAGTACACATGGTATGCAATGAAAAACTTCAAATGTGGTTATTTATATTTATCAAATTTGATTGCGAAATTAGGAAAGAATTCTGTAGGAATCTTTTTTTCTTTATCTTATTGCTAAGGAGTTCTTGTGGTGGCAGAAAAATTGGTAGGAAAAGGCTGTCCCGATAAAGGTTACAGCTAAATTTAAGCAGAGGCCTCCATCTTATTAATTCTCTGACATTATTCCAATATTCAAAAGCTTTAGGAAGTTTTACGTTTCAAAATAATACGTTCTTTTGGTTAATTACATCCTTGTCTCCAGAAAGTTTTTGCATTAGAAGCATAGTGACTGTGAGCTTTAGTAATTAATGTGATTCAGTCATACAATAGTAGTTCTTGCTTGAGCTTCCTATTAGCGTATAATGATAATGCTAGCTGCACTTTTCAAATTAATGATAGTGCTTTGTTTTATATATGATATTGTGTTTTGTGATTTAAGATCCTCACATTTTAGTAGGAAGAAACAAAAAAAAAAATATGTTCTAGGAAATTCCTATTCCAGAGAAGCCAACATAGAGATGGGATTAGTATACTACACCATCAGTTTATCTTCCTTTCTTTTGTTTTGTTTGCTTCTATATTTAACTTTTTTTTAGTATTTTGACTGTTCAAGTCATGTAGTTTTTTTTTGTTGAATCTGTTGATGAGATTTTGAGACATTTTAGTTGTTTAGTACTATATATATGCAATCTATTTATCTTCTTTTTCTTTATGATATGCATGCCTTGATTTCTTTATTCTCTTCTTTCATTGACCAGAGAACTAATGCTAAAATTCCAATGATAACCTGCAGATTGAAAACACATTGTGCTCAGCAATTTGAAAAGCTTAAAATTCTCAATTATTTAAACTCGCCAAGAGCAACGTACCTCGAGCAGTGATGAATGCAATTCCGAAGATATCATCAGCTGTTTGTAAACAATTTTGGTCTATCAGTGGAAACAATTTTAAGCCTTCTTCCCCATTTGTACCAGTGTTGCTAAGGATCATATGGATAAAATTTCGTAGTTTCCTCAATCTTTTTTGTCCCTTTCCCTACTTTTCTATTTATCTTATTGTAAGATATATAAAAGTTTCAATTGTTATTACTCCAACCTTTTCTATCATGTATAGTGAAAAGTCTAAAAGTCTTCTCCAATCTTTCATATCCCTGATAAGATTTTTCAAGGTCTGTTAATAAATTATAATGCTTGTTATAAGAAAAATCAAATTATGGTGTATGTCTACTCTTCCTCCATGATCTTCTCAAATGCTTAATGACATATTCAATGACATATTTCTATGCTTAATGACATATTCAATGACATATTTTTCTTCACTTTTCATGCCTATATAAAAGCCTTGTAATAGATACGAAAATACACACAATTGAAGAAGAAAATCTCTTCATTCTCTCTATCTCTATTTCTTGTTCATGTTTTACTAAATTGCTTTTATTTCATAACAACATGTCTTGTTCATATTTTACTAAATTACTTTTATTTTATAACACGTTATCAGCACGAATTGCTTATTTCATGATCTTCTACGTCAAGACTGTGTAAATTACAAGCAGACAATGAGATCAAGTACAATGAAAAATGTCTTGGATGATAATACAAAGATAAATTTTACATCCATCTAAACTCATTCATACTTTCATATCTTTGCATTAACTTTATGTGAAGTGTTTAGTTAAAATATTTTTTTCAATTGTATCCAGTGAAATAAAGAACTGAAAAGTTATTTCTTTATTTACTACATCTCTTATAGGACAAAGATAATATATATATATATATATATATATATATATATATATATATATATATATATACTGACCGTTTACATACTATGATAGATAATTATTAAGGTAATTTAGTAATAATATTTTTACCATCACGTGGTGTATTTCATTGAAAGCAAAATTATCAAATATGTAGGCGATTTTACAGTACCTTACAAATTTGGCATTCGAATATACAATCAATATAAATTATAATTTATAATAGTCACAGTTATGCATTAAGCCTTAAATATTTTTGCTGGAAACATAAGGCTCATTCCTCCGTATTAGATTTTTTTGGTGAAGTTCTTATAGTCTTTGAAATATAAGTGGTTATAGGTTATCTGCACCTTTCTCCTAATTAATTTATTAAAATATAAAAGTGATTGTATCATTTAAAAAAACATAACTAGCATTTTTGTTGCAAGGAACTGTTTCAAGATTGAAATAGGTATATATGTCTTCTTGAAAGTTAATTTATTTATGCCTATAATTATGAAGTAATAATATTTTAAAGGCTCGAGTGCGAGTCCTAGTGAATTTTGGCCTATTATGCCAAAGATTGAGGGTAAGACGATGGGTTCAAGTCCCAACGCACTATATTGATGAAAAGACATTGGATTCAAGTTCCAACGCATTATGGCCTAGCATGCCTTTATATGAGTAAGACGTTGGGTTTGAGTCCTAATGCACCATATTGATAATAATAATAATAATAATAATAATAATAATAATAATAACTAAAGAAAAATAATGTATTTTTCATGAAAAAGCATGAAGCTTGTCCCACTTGATTTACTCCATTCTTGAAGTGAATGTGATAGCAGTGCATGATAAGTCTAAATAAAGACAAGTGATTGACCAATGAATGTGGGCGTGCGAAAGGCCAAAATAATAATAGTTATCACTATGGTAATTATAAAAGGGAGAACAAG